GCAACTCGTTGTACACCCACTTGGAGAGTGGAGGACCCCTCGCTCAGACCTGCTTGGTCTCGTGTTGGATGAGTCACTCAGTCACACAGTCGGCCCAACCCGCTCACGTTTCACATGAAGTCACTGGTTTCCGGCAAAATTAGAAACATATCTTCCAGTACTCTGTTCTCGTAAAAATTCTCTGATACCAGCCCATACGTCATCGAGATCTTTACAGTGAGCCCACCCTCCCCTTTCCGTCTTTTGCCCGCACGTGAACGTGAAAGTTCCAAAAGTGACCCGGCAGACTAGCAGTTCCTGATACGAAGTGAAATAACCGAAACATTATTTTCCCCGAATTTCCCCAACTTTCAGTGTCAATTCAGTATCGTGCATTACTGTGCTCACGGCCTTTGATTTTCTTGCGAAATATACTACAGTTACAATTTACCGAGATATACAGACATTTGATTAACGACCCATTAGCATAAAATTATTTTCTTCTTACGAATGTCAAGCAGTCTGATTTGAACTCTTGCGTTGCCTGAGCAGGGGGCTTTCTATAAAAAATGGTTTTATTTACAACCGTCACAACAGTGCAGAGGGGGGATAGCTAGAGCTCCTATTACGATTAGAACGGCAACAATGGAATGGCACTGAGTTACACTTTTTGTCCCTCCGCGGACTCGCCGACAACGCGACACGACAAAACTGTGTAAAGTAGATTATGTGCGATTAAAAATGCTGTAAAGCTACAGGGCTGAAGTGCTCATCGTATATGCCGCTTGTGCCTGTGCGCTTGGGCACATTAGCTCGTCTCACGCACCTCTGCAGAGAATTTGCTAGGGGAGGAGAAGCTGAACACGGAACAACGATAAGGAACCGGCTTAGCTTTGGCAACTGCCTCCTGAACTCTGGCGATTGGTAGACACTGTTAAAAGTATTTTGTGATTTTCCAATACTTTTTCGATACGAAGCAACGGTGAGATCACAACACTACTCTGTAATCAGAAATGGTGCGTTTGGCTATCTCAATTTGAAATAGTTCTGTACCAATCGTAATACTTTCTGAAGTTATTGACAACGAAGAAAAGTTGTTGTGATTTACCAAAAAATCACAACGAGTTCTGACAACTTTTTTCACGACGAATTCTTCGTGAATTTCTTACTTACTTTTAACAGTGGAGTTTAAGTTCCTTACAAACTTAAGACAAAATTTAATCTCAAGCATTATTTTACAAAATGTTTTCTGAATAGTCTGACAAATGTTTTACAGTGTAACACAGTCGCAACTGCCCCAGCTACAGTACACGACCAGCTACTGTTCTCCCTCCCCTCCGCACCGCACCTCAGCCGCTCAACGTGCCGATCCAATTCTATCTCTTGTCAGGGAGCATGAGGATCTTGTTCAACAAGCTCGCCAATGCAGGGCGCGTAATTACAACAGAGATGACAGAGTGGGTGGACAGGGATGGGGGAGGGGGGGAAGGGGCCATGGGCCCTCGACTGGACAGGCTGCACGACAGAAATTTATGCAGGGAGCAGAGGCCGAGGACGGCGACCAGCGGCGAGTACATTACAACTGACAGCGTGCGACAATTACTCGTTTTAAACGCCACGCAGCAGAGCGCCTTAAACCACAAACGAGACGCGCGTGACACTTCACCTCAAAAGACACGTCTGCACCAATTCCTGTGGACACAGTTGGGAAAACACAAATACCGAAAGCGGAAATGAATTGATAGTAAACAATATGGCCGCACTACTATCAGGCACGTTTTGCGCAAGCTTTAAGCGAAAGAAGATAAAAACGCTCGGCCGAGGAGGAGCCAGGGGGCTCCCGCAACTCGGGCGGGGGAAGGCCATATGTCGGGGAGAGGCAAGCTGCTAAATAATTGGCCGAGCGCGTTTTATGCAAGCTGACACACAATAACCGCTATTGTTTCATTGTGAGCACCCGACCACCGGCACGGCCAGCCGCAAGGGCCAGGCCAGGCTGTCCCGCACTTAAAATGTGGGAGAAAAGACCGCATATAATTGTGTCACAGTCCGAATAACGTAAAAGCTTTTACGTTTTATAATATATATTAACATATGTTCCCTAGAGTCTAAAATCGATCGTGATTAAGTATTCGTAATTTGAAATATATAAAAACTGTAAAACCACAGAAGCACCCATGGAGCAGCTCGAAAGCTTCATGAAGAATTAAAAATGGTAGGGTACGATATGAAAGAAATAATATTCTATTGTGCTGTGTGTGTTTCGCCGGAGATTTAGTATGGAACGCACTGGCTACTAGCGCCTCACTTCCACACTGTGAAACAAAGATTAGAGTGAAAAATCTCGGAATCTGAAAGATAGATGGAGGAGTTTATTTTGTAATTTGCCGAACTAAATTAATTCGGCTAGTACCTCTACAGAGCTCCAAGTTTGAAGGTGCACTATGCACGTTGCCGGAGATCTGACGGGAGCCGGACGGGAGGTAGGTCTTGGCCATAGTATTACACCCATATACTTTACTCGGGCTCAGACCCGAGGGGTCCCCCACTCGCCAACTCGTTGTACACGAGGAAAAATACTCGCATGATACTCGCGACAACTCCCGACAACTCCCGACAACTCGCGACAACTCGCGGAAAATTCGCGAAAACTCGCGAAAAAATCGACAAATACTCGCCTTATACTCGCGGATACTCGCCATTACTCGCATAAACTCGCGGATACTCGCTTATACTCTCGAATACTCGTGGACACTCACGCAACTCGTTGTACACCCACTTGGAGAGTGGAGGACCCCTCGCTCAGACCTGCTTGGTCTCGTGTTGGATGAGTCACTCAGTCACACAGTCGGCCCAACCCGCTCACGTTTCACATGAAGTCACTGGTTTCCGGCAAAATTAGAAACATATCTTCCAGTACTCTGTTCTCGTAAAAATTCTCTGATACCAGCCCATACGTCATCGAGATCTTTACAGTGAGGGCTCGCTATAGTTCCGCTCTCTTTAGTTCCGCCGGCGCTCCCTCCCCGCCAGGCATGGTTCCCCCACTCCGAGCGAGAAGCGGCCCCCCTCTCTTCCTCCTCCCCACCACCTTCCCCCCGGGCTGCCAGCCAGCAGTGTGAGCAAGAGCGGTAGAGAAGGAGTGGGGGAAGACGCTCGCTATAGTTCCGCCTCTGGCGACCCCACTCACCCACTCCAATTCTGAACCGGAGGCGGAACTATAGCGAGCGCCTACTGTATCCCCCTGCTCGGAAGAATAATGGTTCAAGAAGCTTCATCTTGTCACATTTTTGGACGAGGGCAACAAATTGTAGGGCAGATTCCACCCACCCACACTTACGCATAGTGTCTTTCATGTTTTCCTTCTCTCATCGCATTTAGGGTTTTCTCAAAGGTCAGGGGAGGTTTTAGCTGTCCCTCTCCCTCCCCCCGTTTCGCTCCGACGAACGTGGCGGTGCTGAGCAGTACATGCTCCATGCACTATACTTTTGGCACGACTCCATGTGGAGTTCGTTCGTCAAATTCATTCCATCCCAGATTCCATCTCCGCCCCTCACTCACCTCCACGTCGCTCGCTCGCCCTGCCGTGCGGTGCTCGTCCGTGCACTGCAAAAGAAAGAAAAGAAACTAAAATTGGATTCTGTCAATAATGTACTGAAAAAAATCCACAGATTTTAACAGCTTGGACAGTCACCACCCTCGATAATATCTACCAAAACCGAACGAAGAATTCCGTTAAAAAGTTTAACTTTAATAAACCAACTTTCCTTATCGAGGTATAAGACCCCTCCGTACAAGATTTTCCTTCTCACTCTCTCCCCCCTGCCCCTCCCTTCCTCACACTCACACACACAGAGTTTGCACAAAGCGAACACACAACTTTACTTGTACCACCAGCCGGTAAATTCAATACGTCCCGTCGCCCATTCTGCCATAACTTCTTTTCCAAACTCGAGTCACGCTGGGCGCAGGCAGGCAGCAGCACACCCAACAACCAGCCAGCTGCGTGCGCACACCAGGTCTGAAACCAATATAAAATCGATCCTTTTCCGACCCTTTGTCTGCGCTGTTAATTTGCCGCTGCGAGAAGAAAATGCGCTAAAAGCCCAAAGCGAGGTGGGCCAACAGCACTTTGTGATCTCAATCAAATCCGCGGGCAACCACGTGTGCGAGGTACACTCTTAACGCCGTGGTCGCCTCGCTTCGTCTCCACTCGAGGGGGTACTCATTCCCGTAATACCCTGTACGCCTCACCTGTGTTACGCGGTATTACGTGTAATGTAATACCGACAAACAGGGTTCATACCGGATCTGTATTTTCATTTTCCCTGACTTTTCCCTGATTTCCAGACGGAAAAAACCTGTTTTTCCCTGACATTTTTTAATTAAGAGAGAGGGCAAACTTTGCAAAATTGAGGCGAAAACGGAATATTATATCGAAGAAAAATAAAATAATACTTAATAAGATAAGTCAAGAAAGTTAATAATCATTCTTACTCAGGCGTCATGGCTAAGATTGGCCCTGGCCCATACGTTCACGATGCCATGCTCGTCGCGCAAACTATTATATTTCTTAATTTTTCCCCGACTTTTTATCAGATTTCCCTGACTTTTCCCTGATTTCTAGTACAATTTCATTTTCCCTGACTTTTCCCTGACTTCCCTGATTTCCCTGACCGGTATGAACCCTGACAAATTACAAAATATTCTATGAAATGGTCGAATTATGCTTGTAATACCAGTGTAATACCCGGCAATACTATGTAATTCGGTGTAACACCGAGTACTCTGTACACGTTTTCTGGTAGTGAATCAGAATACCCCCTCGTCTCCACAGTAGGTATAACAACAACAAAACCACCGGCTGGAAACAGGAACAACCTAAGCGGCCTGCCTAGGGCGAGTGGGGGGGGGGGGGGGATGTCTATGTCTACCGGGTGTCCGAGAGAATACGCGGCAGCTCGATGGGTTGCCTACGCACCGGCGTGCAGGCGCGGAGGGCAAGAGGGGACCGGAGGGGGTGGCGAGAGGCAACCGGCCGCCTCCCGCCACCTCTTTTGACTGTTTTCGGTCGAGCTGGCGACGCCTCCTCATATACGGGGGAAGTTGATGAAAGAAAAACGACCAATCCGTAAGTCAAAACGCCGGGCAGGGGGGATGACCGTAGACACACTGAAAATTTCAGACCACTAGCTCATCTCCCTTCCTTACACGGGCGACAGACGCAGACCGACCGACATACACAGACAGACACAGACGGGCAGACGCCAGAGGGGTTGCATAGGACCGCTCTGAAGCTTTTTCAAAGCAGCAGGGCGGGCTGAAAAAAATGCGTGATGTCCCGCGTCAGGTCCCCGAGGAAGGATCAGCTCCAACAGCGCCATCTGTTTGGTGGCGGCGGCGAGAGACATCAGCGGGTGGATTGAAATGCAAAGCAGTCATACCGAGTGACACGGTTGTAAGCAAGCGGGGCGCGCGTGCGTGGTCCCACACGGAATAGGAGGAGGGGGGTGGCTGATGGAAGGGGTAAATGAACACGCGGTGCGGCTGGCGTGGCTTTCCAAATGCAGGCAGCGTCGCGTGGGTTGCTGCTTTGTTGTCATGTCGGGGGCGCCCGCCCCCCAACCCCGCCGCCCAGCCCCACCCCCTGTACAAGCAGCGCACAGCGCACGTGCGCAGCGGGTGTCAACCATCTGCCCGCGCCGTGGACAAGACCGCTTCCTTGCGCCGGCGGCAGGCATACGTCCCGGGGTGTCACGTGATGTTGCGGTCTGACTGCCGGGGAGGGGGCGGGAGGGGTGCAGCAGCGCGGGCGGACACGTCTGCGGTACATTATGCCCGTCCTGCCGCAGAGCTGCCGCGCCACGCACGCCTCGCACACACCCCACCCCACCACGCCACGCCATGCCGCAGCCGGTCTGGCCGGAAGAAGGTCCTTCCCCACCGGAAGCAATGATTGCCACCGAGATGAGCGCTCATTGGGGGGGAAGAGGGTGGAGGGGGAGGGCCGGTGGAAAAGGGGGGGGGGAGGGAGATAACGACGGTGATATGGTACAGCGAGGGTGGAGACAGAACACGCCACACTGCACATGTCTGGTAGGTTTCCTGTGCTATTGCACAGTAGTCTTTTAACAAGTCTTCATGAAATTGAAGAATATTTTTTAAAAATGATTAAAAGATTGGGGACTCGGATTCAGAACTTCTCTTTACTTTTCCTATTTAGAAACCATACGCTTGGCCACATCCTAATTAAAATACCTGACGGGATCATTTTTGCACAACACTGCGTATCGCTATGCTCAACGACGTACACCGATTTAATGTTATTATTAAAATTATTACTGGCGCGCGGGATTCAATCAATGGCCACACTGATTCTAATCAAATTGGCGACGCGTTTTGCATAATCACGAACGGCAGCTGGTTGGCTGGAACCACCCCCTCCTTCCCAAACCCCACTACCACCGGGCCAGGCCGTGCCACGGGACACGCTACATGCCGCCCGTGTTCGTTCCGGCTCGCCGTGCTCCGATCAGCTGTTGGATTCGGGCCAGGTGCTAAACATTTCATGCCTCCTGGGACTGCAAGGGGTATGGTAGGAGGGGTTGCGTGGCGAGAAGAGGAGGGTGAGGGGCGAGGCGTGGCGGGTTGGGGTGGGCCGGGGCAGATAGGGGTAGGCCGGCGGCGCCCTGCTGCTGCTGGACTGCTGTGGAGGATCGTCTATAGGGTAGGTTCGGACCGGACCCGCCGCGCCTATCGCCCTGCTCGCCCTGCTAGGCCTCCCTAGTATCACCGTAAACTTCACTGTTAGTAAGCCCGTACCATAATTATACTGAATGGCCACGGTCAATCCAGTGTTTAAAAGCAACAGTCAACATCGTAACTACTGTCTTGTCCAGTGACAGTGCAACACTGTTCCGGTGAAGTAGTCTAATATTGAATAACAATCTGGTCCAATACATTTTAAAAACCTGGACAGACTGTTATAGTTTGACCGTTCATCAAGTTTCAAATAAAAGTAAGAGTAACTGTTAATATTGTTGATAGTGCTCATAAAATGACTTCAAATAAAGGTGACTATTAATGTAGTGATATTGCCATCCACTTACAATGTTGTTTAGAAGGAGCAATTTCTTATATTGGGGGAAGGGTCTACATTGTACTCTTTCTTTTAAATCAAGTTATTATGATTCTCTGCACAATAGGGCAGTAAGGGGACGTTTGTAACATGTACACACATTGTGAGGTAATGCGAACTCACCTTTTGCTGTGTTGAATAAAACGAAGCAAATCCAAAAAAGCAAACACCGACCATGGAATGTTATTGATTGGAGATACATAACCTCCCTGGCAACACTCAAAAGTAGAGTCATTGAAGGATGGAAATAAAATCCGCAATAGCTATGTAGTTTATAAAATTAGTTTCAGTGAAAAAATACCATTGCCTCAAAGAGACAAAATGACAGACAACGCAAACAACTAATTTTCCACAAGGTGATTGTCCAAAACACCAAAACAAATAAACCGTCGGGATTAGAAAAAGAAAAAATGAAGTCAGGAGAGCGGAACCAGTGATAAAATTCAAGCTACGCTATGGGTAGGCTATAGTTGTTATCGAGAACGTCTTTCATAATATTTAAATCAGATTTGCATTCGTTTTTGCTGAGATTTTGGTACTGGTTCGGGCCTTGATTAACTGTTTTCTCAAATACCAGTATTTCTTGGAGAGGTATTTAGGGTAAGCTTGGCGCCGGAAACGAGAGACGCAGATTGCGCTGATCGGTTCAGATCTCAGCCTTTGGTCAGATAACATTTTCCATTTTTCAAGACAATCTAAGTCCATCTTAAACACTTAGAATGTTAGCCTAAACCACAATATTACTTAGAACTTCTTCGTGGTGGACGGCAGACAAGCGGATGTAAACTGATGTCATTAGGCTGAGAACCCCACAAGGGTAGTGCGACCGATTTGCAGTTAAGTTGGTAACACTGTCAACCTGCGAGTGTCGATGGTTAGGTTAAATCTCTTGCTGTCACCACCTCTATCAGACAGTGGCATACTTTAAACTGAAAAAACTAATTTGAGAGAAGCGATATTGTGTGAGTTTGATTTCCATCAATCTCCGTACTCTACTTTGATTTTTCCGGAAGAGGTTACAACTCCCCATTTATTCAACATGGCACCGTGGGAGCTACAGGCAAGGACATTTTCTTCCTTGGTTTCAGTTTTCCCTACACAAGGTGAGTAACACATTGTTTGAAACGCAAGATTAATGTCGGCCGTCCCCGTTTCCGCTGCTTCGCTCACCAGAAATGCCCTACGAGCACCGTACGGCGTTCGGTGGCGAGGTGGCAGCGCGTATAGCGCGGAACCATAACAAGCAAAATCCTCTTGCCCTAAAGTGTCTCTGGACTCCTTGTTTCGGTTTTATTTTTCTTTTAGTTTATGCCTCACAGTCATATCTTTTCACGCCGGAGACGATCCGGCTATTTACTTTAACCGTAGCATAAAGGAAATTTTACATGTTATGGTTCCGCGCTACGCGCTGCAACTGCGCCACCGAATGGGATATAGTGCCCATGGTGTGTATTTTTGAGGGTGGATA